CGGCTGGCATAGAACATGGGCGGGTATATGCAAATGTTGGGGGCGTAACTTTTAATGATCCCGACTGTAACGTCACAGTCGGTGTTATGTTCTGATTCGCCTACTTTTCAGTGGTCTTTTGCATGCACGAAATTTAGATAAGAAGGAGGAAACAATGGTGTTTGACAATTTAATCCTTAGTTACTGAATTAAATTTTTTTTTTTTTTATCTCAATGACCCAAAACTTTGGAACAAAAGTGTGAGTATGTAAACTTTGCAGTCTTTAATATGTCCTGACAGAATTTACAGTTTTATGTGAATTATTCCTGATGGAAGTTTAGCACTATATACTCAGAAATGCATCTAAATTAGATCTAAATGAACTGGTATTACTCATGTCAAAATATTATATATAAATATATTAAATGTATACCAACCAAACTGATTTTTATAGGTTAAATCATGTAGCTCTTTAAGGTAACAATGGCAGATCACCACTTCTTTTCTAAAAATATTACAAATGCAAATGCAAAAACAAAACTCTCCATTAATTATACAATATGCTGTCAATATGCATTTATTATAACATTCAACATGTTTATTGTTAGTATATGAATGTATCTCCACTCCTCGTATCACACGTACCTTCCCGGTGCTCATTTCTCAGACAGCGCACCTTTGGGATCTGAGAGAGAAGTCGGCAGTCTTCAGCTACAGAGACACAGAGAGACAGAGAGAGACGGACAGAGACAAAGAGAGAGAGGGACATCAGATTTCCCAGAATGCACCAACAAGTGAGTGTGCAGCACACATGTGCATTTCAACATTTCAACATGATCATTTTAATGGACAGTTAAAGGGGTCATAGGATGTTGCTAAAAAATAACATTATTTTGTGTATTTGGTGTAATGAAATGTGTTTATGTGGTTTAAGGTTAAAAAAACACATTATTTTCCACATACTGTACATTATTGTTTCTCCTTTATGCCCCACCTTTCTGAAACGCGTCGATTTTTACAAAGCTCATCGTTCTGAAAAGCGAGGTGTGCTGTGATTGGCCAGCTATCCAGTGCGTTGTGATTGGCTGAATACCTCAAGCGTGTGATGGAAATGTTACGCCCCTTACCCTACTGTGATGCCGTGTCCCGGAGCGACGAGACAAAACATGAAAACCCATTATAAACGAGGCATTTGTTGCATTTTCAAAACTTTACAGTTACACACAAATCCAAGAATTGCACGCACAAAATGCAAGATGCCTCACATCTCTTGCAAAATGAAGCACTGCATTCAAAATATCACAAACACATCTCAAAAGCAAACATTTGCAAACACCTTTGCCATAATATTAATTCCTGTTAGAGTTTTGTGTGCTACATAGAGAATTGTGTGTTGTGTTTAGCAAAAAGTCAAAGGCTGGGAATTAGTGTATGGTTTTGCAGATTTGGTGTGTGCTTCTGCTCTTTGAGTGTCAGCTTTTCAGAAATTGTGTGATAAGTAAAGATTTTGTGTGTTGAAAAGCAGTTGAAAAAAACTCATATTTTGTACATATTTTGAATTAGATTTAATATTTATATGTTCTGTTTTTACTTTCATTTGAAAGTTGTAGTAATTCTATTGGGATTTTTTAAAACATTTGTATTATTTTTTATGCCTATACTTTATAAACTTTGAATGATTTGTTTTAGTTTATTTAGTTTTAGTTATTTTAGTACTTCAACTTTAAATGAAAATTAAAAATGTTGCCTTGGCAAATAGCTGAAATACAGTTTTTTACAATCATTTTTGCACTAATAACAGAACCTTCATGTTATTTTTCAAAACTCTAGACACAAAACTCAAAACAGTCATTATTTGTAACACAGGCTGTCCAATGTTCAAAACTTTGCATATTGCGTTCTTATCTTTAAAGAAGCCTTTAAAAAACTCATTTATTATGAAATATCATAGGAACATTACTTGAGATCACCCACACGCAAGATGCCCATAGTTTCACTGTGTAGATTTAGTACAATCATTAAATATAGCTGTTCAAAACACATGATGAAGCATTATGAAACGTTCTGATGGAGAATAATGAAAGCATTATTCTACACATTTATACATCCTTGTAATAGACTAGAGAGAAAAGTACAGATACTGGAATCATTACAGTAAACAAAATTTGAAAATGATTGATGAAATAATCAGAACCACAAACCAATAGAAGCAATGAATAAACCATAGAATCAATGAATGCGTAGAACCATAATGAAAGCTGCATCATGTTTTGAACAGCTATATTTAATGATTGTACTAAATCTACACAGTGAAACTATGGGTATCTTGTGTGTGGGTGATCTCAAGTAATGTTCCTATGATATTTCATAATAAATGAGTTTTTTGAACCAATGCTTCTGCAAATGCAAGGCTTCTTTAAAGATAAGAACGCAATATGCATAGTTTTGAACATTGGACAGCCTGTGTTACAAATAATGACTGTTTTGAGTTTTGTGTCTAGAGTTTTGAAAAATGACATCAAGGTTCTGAAATTGGTGACAAAATGATTGTAAAAAACTATATTTGCATTTTTTTGTTAATGATAATAACCTTGCACTGAACTAATCCATATACATCAATATTTACCAAGAAAACTATTTTTAATGGGTTAAATCAGGTAGAAATACACTTATGGAATCATTAGGCAAAACTTTTTAACTGGAATCAGAAGCAAAATTTCCATTCTTGCTGACAGTTGTTCTGATTTGAATATATTGAATGTGTGTGTGTGTGTGTGTGTGTATGTATGTGTGTATGTGTGTATGTGTGTGTGTGTGTTGGAGAATGAAGCCGCAGAGGAAGCGTGACAGATGGTGATGGGAAGGATAAAGCACAGATTACTGTCAGGACAAAAGTCAAGTCACACTCACTCACTCTTATGGCAGATGTCAGCGAGCATGTGTCTCACAAACGTGTGTGTGGATGGACTGTTGTGATTTGTTTTGAAGGAGGAAATGGAATGTGTGTGAAATGTGTATTCAGTGTTAATTACAAAGGAATCCACAGCATCACAATTGATTTTCTGCTTAAATCGGTTCAACTCCTCACACTGCTGGCTGGGTCATGTGGCTGGATGCCAGGATGTGATTGCTAAGTGTTTTTAGCATGTTGCTTTTGAGGTTGCTAGGGTTTTCTAGGTGATTGCTTACATGGTCCTATGAAATTCCTTTTCCCCCCCCCAAAAAAAGTCTGTTTTTAAATTTTCTGGATTCCATTTTAATGGTTTGATTAAAATGTAATAATCAAAAGGGAGGTCTAGTCAATTAAATTAAGAAAATTGTAACAATTTAATAATTCATTAAAAATGTAACAATACACTGTACAACAAATCCTGTTGTTTTTACAAAACAAAATTGGTATCCGTTATACAGTAAAAATATAAAAAACTTGCACATTTTACACTTAGTTTACACTTTCACTTAGAACAATCAGCAAATTTTATTGTTAAAAAAAGTTTTTAAAAAATGGTTTTAAAACACTAAAATTTAAATTAAAAAAATGTAAAAATCCTTTAACATGTACTGATACTTTAACATACTGTATAGGCTACTGAGTCTGACCACCAAACCACACATCACACTAAAATAATTCAATAACTGATAAGAAAAAAACTAAGAAGAAACCTCAAATTGAATTCTGAGAGTGTCCATTTAAATTTTTTTTATTGTAAATTATAAGATAACTTGTTATTTTTCCTTTTACTACAATTACATTTAATGTCCCAATCTATTACAGTTTTCCAAGTTTTAATTGTAACACTTTTATAGTCTTTTACTGTTATAATTACTTTTTAAAGTGTTATTGTGTTCTATGAAATATGTTTGGTTTTTATTTTTCAGAAATTATGTCTTGTTTGTTTTAGTTTCTCTGGATTTTATATTTTGTGATTTAATACAAATTTATTATCAAATAACTGTGGTGATAAAATGAGTGCATAAAACTTTAAAAATGTAATGAATCTTCGAAAATGTAATAAAATTAATTTAATAATTGACCACAGAGAGTCAGGACCTCGGTTTAACGTCTCATCCGAAGGACGGTGCTTTTTGACAGTATAGTGTCCCCGTCACTATACTGGGGCGTTAGGACCCACACAGACCACAGGGTGAGCACCCCCTGCTGGCCTCACTAACACCTCTTCCAACAGCAACCTAGTTTTCTCAGAGGTCTCCCATCCAGGTACTGACCAGGCTCAGCCCTGCGTAGCTTCAGTGGGTAACCAGTCTTGGGCTACAGGGTGATATGGCTGCCGGCCAAATTAAATTTAAATACTTTAAATGAAACAATTCCTTTAAATTTTTAGCAAATTTTTTAAACATGGACCAAAAAATTGCATGATATTCCATAAAGTTAAACCAAACTTTTATTTGGCAGGTTGTAGTGAAGATCTTTGAGTTTTGACATAAAGACGAAACCGATAAATACCAAATGGTCAAGCAATCTCCACTGGACCACTTGAGATGGACTGACCCGACAGTGAGGAATGAGTTGCACGCTTGAGTTTATCACTCTTAAATGAAGACATTTAACTCTAAATATAAGCAGCAGTAGCAACAGCAATACTTATCTATTACTATTACTTACTATTGCTTTGGCTTCATTGATGGCAGCCCAAAAGTTGCTTTGTATGTACGATATTTTTTATTTAAATTGCAAATACTTTGTTAATGTCACAGATTCACCAGGCTCAACACTTTAAGATAAGGTTTGATTCAAATATGAGAAAAATGCCATAGATTGGTGTATTGATAAATGCTTAATTAATTAAATCATAAAAATTTTAAGAACTTTTAAAATAAAAACAATCAAAACAAAAGAAAAAGAGGTAACACTTTAGTTTAGGGACCAATTCTCACTATTAACTAGTTGCTTATTACCAGAATATTGGCTTATTAGTACTTATAAAGCACATATTAATGCTTTATTCTGCATTACCTTACTTTAGATCCCTTAAAGGGGTCATATGATGCGATTTCAATTTTTTCTTTATCTTTGGAGTGTTACAAGCTCTTGGTGCATAAAGAAGATCTGTAAAGTTGCAAAGACTAAAGTCTCAAATCCAAAGAGATATTCTTTAACATTTCTGTCTCACGGCTTGAGGTATTCGGCCAATCATAATGCACTGGATAGCTGGCCAATCACAGCACACCTCGCTTTTTCTGACCGATGAGCTTTGTAAAAATCGACGCGTTTCAGAAAGGCGGGGCATAGAGGAATGTACAGTATGTACAGTATGTGGAAAATAATGTGTTTTTTTAACCTTAAACCGCATAAACACATTTCATTACACCAAATACACAAAATAATGTTCTTGTTAGCAACATCATATGACCCCTTTAATTCGTGTTGCGTGGCTGTAGAAAGCACACAACGCAGGAGTAGAAATAAACAAGAAAGTCCTTTAATAAATCCACAGGCAGGAGATAAACATAAATCAACATCACATCAATGCCGGAACTAAGGAGCTAGGGCAAAACACAGGGCTTAAATAATAGGAGAGGGCAATCAGGGATAAACAGAAACAGGTGTGGCGTAATTAATCTAAAACCATGTCTGAGGTTAGAGGATCTTTTTAGTTTTTTGAGTTTAAGTCCAGCTATATTTAAAGGATGGCTTAGTGCAAATAGCAGCAGATGTTATTTGTATCTCAGTGTGTTGTAGTATTATAAAAAAGCATGCAATAAGACTTGAACCCTTGAAGCACCTTTGGCAACAGTAGAGCAGTTTTATCATTGTCAGCATGTGTGTGTGTGTGTGTTTTGTGAGGTGCATGTGTGATCCATGCCAAAATAAGGAGAGCATAAAGCTCCTCCTGAGACCAACACATGATCTCTGTAAAGGAAAAATCACGTCTCTCTTTAGCGCTCCACAACATTAATCACAGCAGAGCTACACGTCTGATTGTGCCGTTTGTTTCCTCACCGTGGCAACAGCAGGGCCGGGCTCAGTCTTGGCTCACTGATGTACAGAGAATGAGCGATATTTACAATGACCTCCACAGCTAACGTGTCCTCAAAGGTCAAATATGAGCACATACACACACAGGAAACACTTTGTCATCATTCCCTGCTTTCATATGTGAGTGTGTGTGTGTGTGTGTTCTTGTGCTGCAATGACGTGAAGCTCTACTTACGGTCAGAGCTGAAGTCGTCCACAAGAATAATTTCCTGTATCAAGTGAGGAGGACTTCTCATCAGTACACTGAAACAAAAAAAAACAGAGATAAATGAACTATAATAAAGCTAAGGTATAAGAGAGAGTATAGCTTTTGTCACTTAGGACCCTATACTCTCTCTGGTATACCTACAACAGCTTTATTAAGTGAAGAGAATGTGTGGTAATGTAAGAAATACTGCTGCTGCACATTTAACATATACGTATATGAATAACCCCCATATCTAGCATACATGAATCTTCGTAGCCGATCTATACAGGTGGAGCTGGGGAAGGTGGAGGGTTTCTGAAGCAAACTGCAAGCACTAGTCATATATTTGAATGTTGAGCAGCAAGCTCACTGGCTGCGGAAGCAAAAAGAACCAATCAGCTGCACCATGTGATGACGTCATTATGTCAGATTGAGTTAGACCCATCGGACTGCGCCATCTAGAGTTTCTTAACAGAACTTTGGATATATTTTTAAGATTTGAAGTACATTACAAGTGCACATTGTGAACAATGTAATGCACTTCATTTTCACAAGGGACCTTGACAATCACATAGTAACACCTTGGAAACAGACAACAGAATTGTGGAAGCACTACTTGTATTTTCTACAGAAAATGGTAAAAACATATATCGAGACTTTATGGCGGGTTTTTCCCCCATCCCACTGCATCTCATGTTTTTAAATGAAAAATGTAATCTGTGTGATTGGCTTTCCGTCCTTTGTATTATACTATGCATACATACATGATGCTGTTTTGTTTATAGTTGTTTAAGCAACTTAATTAATTATAATTGGTTTATAAACATTATTTTAAACATTATGCACTTTTTTTCACAGATAGTCATGTTATCTTATGCTTTGAAGAAACGTGCATTAGTAATATTTTGCTCGATGCGCCCTCTTGTGGCCTCAGAAGAAAAGCCAAAAGCTTTTCTTCACCCTAACTAAAATTATGCATTTTAAATTCGAATATAATTCGAAATTTTGATAATATTTAAGTACAAAATTCGAATTTAGTTTTTCAGCCATTTTGACAGCCCTACACCACACTATCAGCCACAAACAGCACACTGTGGCACTTAGGGCCTGATTTACTAAACAGGGTAAATTCGCATGAGACCACAAACCCATAAAAGCACAGAGGGGAGTGGAAAGTTCTGCGGGTGATCTACAAATTAAAAAACACAAAAGCAGCCAGGTCATTTCCATTAAAACCAACGCAAGAGCAGCGCAAACATGCGTAGGGTCACAAACAAACAGAGCTGATGATAATCAGATGCGTGTAATCTACCAACAGCACAGCACAAGGTGGGTTAAGACATTTGCACGTTAAATAATGGTGCAAATACCAGTACCTTAGTAAATCACCTAGCAAGATTTATTTGAAGACTCTCCTCCCATAAATTTTGTGTCTGAATGGAAAACTCCTACAAATGCATATGCAATAAGGCCAGCCGCAAAAAAGACTGTCTGTGCCTTTTCATCACTAATGTTTCTCTGTGCGTCTTCAGTTTTTTAACACCAAGAGAGGGTTTGCGCTGGCACAAGCTGTTGGAAATTCAGGCCCTTAAACTGTAATTTCTGATGTACTACGTACAAAGCCAATTTGAGCTACATTGAAAATTGTAACCTAAAAATGGAAACATCCATATTAACAGTTTTTATTCAAGCCGAAGATACATTTTGGGCTAAATCCGAAACAGCTCTTTAAGGTAACAGTTGCAGGTTCTTGCTGAATGTCAGTGGGTCCAGTACAGCTCTGGAAAACTCTGCAGTGTAGGCTGTTACCTTTTAATAGTGCGCAGCAGGGTGGAGCGCGCCTCATTGTGAAAAGTGATGATGATGCTGGTGGGTGGCAGGTCAGGGTCAAAGGTCATGGAGGCACATCTGTAAATGCAGCAAACACAGACAGGGCGAGTCAGGGCTTTCTTTGTCATGGCTGAGCAGTGAGCACACTATGGCAGGATCACCAGAAATGGATTTACACATGGTAAAATATGTTAAACAGAATTGAAAGTACTACACTACTACTGCTAGCTGAATGCTTAATTAAATGACTATCTTACCGATAGTGGCGTGTGTCTCTGATGGTGCGATTGCTGCCGAGCCGGTCGCTCTCCTGCAGGTTGAACGCATGCTCTCTGTACGGATCCTCACCTGCTTTCAGCTGCTTACTGGATAGAAAAGCCTTTTCATCAAACTGGCCAAAGAGCTGACCCTGCTGCTCCAGCTTTGGTGCATGAGTTACCTGACACACACACACACACACACACACACACACACATGCTGGATTATCCACTGGTGATGTCAATGGAAAAACACAACTTTACATTGTTCTGTATTTTCTCAGTCTGATGTGCGTATAGAAGTTCTCCTCTATGAGAAATGCTTCATCACGTGATACTCATGAGACCAAAGACATTAAAATTCCACACACAGACCTCATGAACCATGACAGGGGTAACAGTCAACTGAGCCACAAAACAGATGATTTTGAGTAAAGAAACAAACACATCTTGACAATACGCTACCATGACAACACAAGTCAAGCGCAAATGTAAATAAAAGTAGAAAATAATCAAACAATGCAACCATTTTCAAAATTCAATGCACTGGTGCATGCTGGGACATGGCAAACTAGGCCACAAAACCATTTTTCAGTGCACTGTAACAAATGTTCTTAGATCAAGTAACTAGCGCTGAACAAAACAACCAAAGACTTGCTTGATTATTTTTAGTGGTTTGTTATGCTGAAAGGGATAGTTCAACTAAAACTCAAAATGCAATCGTTGCATTCATTTTGCACTCTTTTTGAAGCTGGTCACTGTTTACTTCTATGGATGACATTTTTTAAAATCCTTTTGTGGTCACATGAGGCCATTAGAACAACACCAGGGTGAGTAAATACATCTCAATGCAGTTTTCTATTACTATATTTAGTTAGTTTTTTATAGTAGTACATGATGTAAACTTGGTTAATTGGATTGATGCATATTTTTTAGTTAAAATAGGTATTAAGTATTAAAACAAGTAGTAAGCAAGTACTAAACTCAGCAGATAACCTGACTGCACCATTTGTTGTAATGATCAAATCATGCAATTTGTTGATTAGCGGTGTGCTTTTAGTAATAAAATGAGTGAAAAAACCTCCTACATTTTCTAAATGTACATATCACAGTACCATTCAGATATTTTTCATTTATAAAATATGAGAAATTATTTTCTCCTATTGTGTTACAAAACTGTTCCTCTCTTTGTATTAGGGGTCAGTTTGGCCTGCTTAATTTTGTTTAAAATTAGCTGCACAAACACAAATGTGACCCCGGACCACAAAACCAGTCATAAGGGTCAATTTCTCGAATTGCTGAATAAATAAGCTTTCCATTTGTGGCACATAGGAAAGTAGGTCAGGTGGGCGGCGTCAGTAAATAGTTTTAGGTGAGCCGTCTATGGTACCTGGTGACGCAAATTAGAGGGCAATTAGCCATTTGTATGAGCGAACGCCACATGTAAAGGGAGTGCCACTAGCACAGCATTTCAGACACTGCAGGGGAGTGAAAAGGCGAAGCACTATTGTGTGAAGGAGTCCGTATTTAAAGAAGACTCTAATAGTTCTCGAAAAACTGTTTGATGTGACCAGTAGGCAAGGCTGATAGCCGTCGATTGCGGTGTGACTCAATTTGAATTGTTTCAGGTATGGAGTTTTATATGATACGGGATGTATACTTTAAATTTGGAGTTTTGTATTCTGATCTGTTCTTTGTGTAATAGTAAAGCGACATTATATGTAAATGTAATAAGGAATAAAGAGTTATGTATTTTGTACACCAGCACCTGCCTTTGTCCTTTAATTAGGATATACATGTTATTAATCGTTTAAATACGGCATTTGTCCCTTTCTGAGCACGGTAAGGCACCTGAAGGCCACATTTGGCGTAGTCGGCAGGGAATTAGGTGGTTGCTGGTGTTACTATTATTCTTTATTTATTTTTTCTTCTTTTCCCTTTTCTCTTTCTTTGTATCTTCCCCCTAAGTTCTATTATTATTGCGAATGGTTGATCGCTGAGGAGACGAAAGTACAAAGAGGAAAACAGTGGTTGGCAAGAGGACGCCGTTGGAGCATCTTCACTTTACTACTGACGTTGGGCTTCGAGGTCAAGATTATTGTATTTCCCATACCTATCCTGCTTTATTTTGTTTATTTGCTCTTTACCTAGAATGTCTGAGAGGGAGGAAGACCAGATTAGAGCTCTGACAGAACAGCTTCAGCAGTTACAAGCTGATAATGTCAAGCTTCGGCAGGAAGCGGCAGCCCAGCAGAATGCGGTGGAAGGACAGGGAGGGGTAGTAAATAGCCATGATGATGGTCTTACTGGTGCAAGGTATGTCTGTCATCCCCGTGAACGAAAATGCCCAAGGTTTTCAGGCAGTATGGGTGCGGGAAGCCTTGGGGTAGAGGAATGGGTAGAGGAAGCTCGTAGATGCTTGAATTTTAGATACATGACATTAACTGAGCAAGCTTTGTTTGTGTATGATCACTTAGAGGGGGAGGCTAGGTCTGAAATTAGGTTTCGTCCTGCTTCAGTCAGGAATGACCCTGAACAAATTTTAGCTATTTTGCTCAAAACATTTGGGTGCTCACAATCAGTGAGCACAGTTTTTCCAATGACGTCAGTGGGATGGGGAGACGCTGTGAGAGTTTTCTCACTCATTAATGGCCTTAATGGAGGTAGTTAAGTGTAAGAACCCAACAGACATCCAGGACTCTGATTAAATAATACGTGACCATTTTGCAGAGCATGTTCGTGATGGTATGCTTCGCCGAGAATTGAAACGTCTTATTAGACAACAACCTTCTATATCCTTTATTGACATTCGTAGTGAAGCAATACGTTGGGCTGATGATGGAGAGCGGTGTAGTGTCCCCCGGGCTAGAGCTTACTCTTGTGATACCCATAGTGATGTAGCAGATATGGAAGTAAAGACTAGTGCTGTGGTAGTTGAGTCTAGTAAAGAAATAAATGAATTGAAAGAGACACTGCGTAAGCAGCAAGCACAATTGGACACTATTCTACAGCGGTTGTCTACTCCTGTCTGGCATGTTCCATCTAATGGCCCAAATAATCGGCCCCCACGCTATCGATTTGATTCAGATGGCCATCCTATTTGTATGCGATGTGGGCAATCCGGGCATATTGCTAGACGTTGTAATAATCAGGGGGGACGTACGAGCCATGGGGGAAACGGTCAGTCCGATGGTTCAGGTATGGATGTTTTAAAGAGTAGTAAGTGTGTGTTAATGACTTGCTTGATCTAATGTTTTTATTTGTAGGAGAGTTTGTCAGCCACTGTTTTCTTTACCTCCATATTAAATTAATGATTTAGTGTGTTTTGTGTGTTAATTAGACGCAGCGCTCAGTGAGCGCGTTGAGAAACGTGAAGGGGGAGAGATTTTTCTTGTGTTCCTTTTGTAGTTTTCGTTTGTATTGTATTTCTTTGGGAATTGTATTTTAATTTTATTTGGGTATTGATGGTACAACGGTACAATTCACAGGTAATGGCATTGAGCAATATGCAATAATACCCTTTAAAGTTTATCACAGAAGTGTGCTGATTGCAGTGTATCACGTGAAGGTGATTGCTTAATTTGTGGTGTGATTCTCTGCGTGTGAATTGGAGTAACTTATTGTGTGTAGTGGGTTTTGTATTTAAAGGGTTTATGACCTGCCTTGCCTGTGTACACCACATTATACCCTCTCTTTTTACCTGTCATGCTGTGAAATGTTTTAGCATTATATGTAAATGTAATAAGGAATAAAGAGTTATGTATTTTGTACACCAGCACCTGCCTTTGTCCTTTAATTAGGATATACATGTTATTAATCGTTTAAATACGGCATTTGTCCCTTTCTGAGCACGGTAAGGCACCTGAAGGCCACATTTGGCGTAGTCGGCAGGGTGTTAGGTGGTTGCTGGTGTTACCATTATTCTTTATTTATTTTCCTTTTTATTTTATTTTTTTTCTCTTTGTCTCTTCCCCCTAAGTTTTATTATTATTGTATGTTGTGAGTTGGTGAATGGTTGATTGCTGTGGAGGTGAAAAATAAGTACAAAGAGGAAAACAGTGGTTGGCAAGAGGACGTCGTGGGAGCATCTTCACTTTACTACTGACGTTGGGCTTCGAGGTCAAGATTATTGTATTTCCCATACCTATCCTGCTTTATTTTGTTTATTTGCTCTTTACCTAGAATGTCTGAGAGGGAGGAAGACCAGATTAGAGCTCTGACAGAACAGCTTCAGCAGTTACAAGCTGATAATGTCAAGCTTCGGCAGGAAGCGGCAGCCCAGCAGAATGCGGTGGAAGGACAGGGAGGGGTAGTAAATAGCCATGATGATGGTCTTACTGGCGCAAGGTATGTCTGTCTTCCCCGTGAACGAAAATGCCCAAGGTTTTCAGGCAGTATGGGTGCGGGAAGCCTTGGGGTAGAGGAATGGGTAGAGGAAGCTCGTAGATGCTTGAATTTTAGATACATGACATTAACTGAGCAAGCTTTGTTTGTGTATGATCACTTAGAGGGGGAGGCTAGGTCTGAAATTAGGTTTCGTCCTGCTTCAGTCAGGAATGACCCTGAACAAATTTTAGCTATTTTGCTCGAAACATTTGGGTGCTCACAATCATATATAGAAGCACAGAAACAGTTTTTCCAACGACGTCAGCGGGATGGGGAGACGCTGCGAGAGTTTTCTCACTCATTAATGGCCTTAATGGAGGTAGTTAAGTGTAAGAACCCAACAGACATCCAGGATTCTGATAAAATAATACGTGACCATTTTGCAGAGCATGTTCGTGATGGTATGCTTCGCCGAGAATTGAAACGTCTTATTAGACAACAACCTTCTATATCCTTTATTGACGTTCGTAGTGAAGCAATACGTTGGGCTGATGATGGAGAGCGGTGTAGTGTCCCCCGGGCTAGAGCTTACTCTTGTGATACCCATAGTGATGTAGCAGATATGGAAGTAAAGACTAGTGCTGTGGTAGTTGAGTCTAGTAAAGAAATAAATGAATTGAAAGAGACACTGCGTAAGCAGCAAGCACAATTGGACACTATTCTACAGCGGTTGTCTACTCCTGTCTGGCATGTTCCATCTAATGGCCCAAATAATCGGCCCCCACGCTATCGATTTGATTCAGATGGCCATCCTATTTGTATGCGATGTGGGCAATCCGGGCATATTGCTAGACGT